CCAAAAAAATTGCCGGGGGAAAAAAGGAGCCCCCGGCGGGGAACCCCCCCCCCCCTCCCCCCCTCCGCTATTTGCGGAACCCTCGCTAACTGCGGAACCCCCCCTCCCCCCGGGCCGCCCGCTCCCTCCCTCTACCCCCCCTCCGCTATCTACGGAACCCCCCCCCTCCCGCTGTCAGAGTCTCGACCTGGTGGTGACGACGATAATGGTGGTCATGGTGATCAAGCATGCCCTGGTGAAGTGGCGGGGCGTGGAGAGCCAGCGGGAGGGGAAGGCTGTCGGGTTCTCGTGCGTGCTGTTCGCCTACATGACCTACCTGGCGGTGGCCATGCGCGAGTTCTGCCCGGTGTGTGTCTTTTTTCCTAGCGTGGACCGCGCTAACCGGCTGACCAATGAAAAGACATGAGTCTCAGTGCGGTTGAAAACACAAAATTCTTCTAAAGGCCATGATCTGGGACCCCGTGAGGGAGCGGCATGGGTGTGTGTGTGTGTGTGTGTTATTTCTTAATTACCATCGACCGCGCTAACCGGCTGACCAACGAAAAGGCGTCAGTCTTAGTGCGGTTGAAAAAAAACAAAACACTCCTAAATGCCATTAGCTGGGACCTCGTGAGGGGGCGGCATGGGGGAGGTTAATCTATGTGTGTGTGTTATTTCTTAATTACCATCGACCGCGCTAACCGGCTGACCAATGAAAAGACGTTAGTCTCAGTGCGGTTGAAAAATGCTTCTAAAGGTCAATGATCTGGGACCCCGTGAGGGGGCGTCATGGGGGAGGCTAAGCTATTGCTCGGAAGGACAGAAATGGTAGCAACAGAGGAAAGAGTTCGTTTATCTGCGTGCGCATGTGCGTGCCTCGTTGCATTTACACAATCCATGCGACAAAGCACTAGTTGTGTCAGACAGAAGTGGTGTAACGGAAGGAGCATAATTTGTTCCGTTCATGCTATTTTTGTTGTCGTCGTTTTCGTCCTTTTTTTTGTTGTCCTCTCTGATTTGTTCCTTTTGTCTCTCATTGCAGTGTACTTCCATGGCAATGATTCCTTCTTGTTGGTCACGCGATCGTCTGGGTTCAGCTCTCCATCTCGTGCCACACGCCTCCGAACAGACCCCTCCCTTTTTCTTTTTCTTTTTTGCTGGGTTATGACATGTATGCGACCCTTCCATGCATGAGGCATTTTGTTTTTTTTTCTCTCTTGAGTCGTTATATTTGTTTTATCGTTGCAGTTATTTCATAGCAATGGCTCATAGCAATGGCTCTCAATCTCGTGCAACACACACACCTACCGACCTCCTGCTTTTTTGTTTTGTTTCTTTCCCCTCGCCTTGGATGCATGAGGGCAGATCGGGACCCTCTGCTTCAGCACCTATAGCATCCCAATGTTCTGGGGTGAGTGAGCTGATGCACCAGGTTGCGGCAGCATGAGCCATGTGTGTACTTATTAGAGGTCCATGTCCCACGGTGGCGCGTGTTTCTCGCGACGGGTCGGTGTGATTTTTTTCCCATGGGATTGGTTTACTCTGTAGTAATACTTTTACCGCCGTGAAAATACCGCCATGTTTAGGCTGTACCGCCAAACATGTCCCATTCCTTCCGCGCGCGCTGTTTCCTTCGTAGATGGTGACGTACGTAACTGCTTTAAGTCTCCTCCGTATCTCGTTGCCTCAGCGCACTTTGGGGTCGCTACCACGTCGCCCTCGCCGCCGGCAGTGCCATCATACCACTCTAAACCGTTTATTCCTGTCTATAGATGAGCTCGTGTTTGTGTCTCTCGGCTGCTAAGTTTCTTACTGCTGCTGATGCTTGGTCCTTGTCGATGGTTTTGGTCGTGCCGTGTGGCAGGCATGCCTTCTCTCCCAGTCAACCTCGGGCCGTTTGCGTCCCAGGCGATCGCTCAAGTCGTCATGCCCAGGGCGGCGTTCCTCGGGTAAGGAGGAGGGAAAAAGAAAGGGAAGAGGGGTGTTTGTGGGAGAGGAGCTGGGGGGGTGGGGGGGAGAGGGTACACACGGGGCATCGGAGGAAGAGAAAGACTAAGACAGAGAGAGATGAGAGATAGAGAGCACAGATAGAGGGTTGGAAAATTGGCCTATGGTGGGGCTTCAACCGGAGACGAACAGATATACCCATATGTACGTAAAGTTTCTGGTCGAACCTCAAAGCGGAAGTCCATGGGGCACACGCCGCTGGGAGACACACAAAGTTCCTCCCCCCGGTTCAACGCCTTCCTGGTGGTCGAAAGCCACACGTGTGCTGTTCCGACTCTCCAGCTTCATAAGTATGTCAGGGGTACATGTTGGTGAGTTGTTTGTTGCGTCTGTTGCTGCTGCTGTTGCTGCTGTTGCTGCTGCTGCTGCTGTACTGCCGCCACCGCCGGCACCGCTGTTTTTGTGTTGGCGGTTAGGGTGGCATGTATGCCTCAGCCGTCACGCCCACTAAACACCCTCTCCTATCTCAACCCTCCCTCCCGTTCGCGAACGCAGCCACTTGTCAGGTATTTTCATGGGCTACTTGATGGCCTGGGGGTTCCTTGGAGGTCTCTCCATCCCTATCCTTGCCGGCATCTCGGTGATTTTCATGCTCCAGCACTCCAAGGCCTGGGCACGCAGGATGCCGGACTTCTCTCTGTTGCTCCAGAGCTGGGCCGGAGGCGACGCGGGAAGGGTCGCCCGCGCACGGAGGATGGGGTATGCCTTCGCGGCCCACGTGTGAGTCACGGGGCCACGGTGTTGTTGTTGTTGTTGTTGTTGTTGCGTTGTTGTTGATTATGTTGTTGTTGTTGTTGTCGATGATGACGTTGTTGTTGTTGTTGTACTTGAACAGCACCTCCGCGCCGCTCCCCCCCCCCTGCGTGGGACGGATGCA